TTTTTAATGCTCTTCTCTTCAGTCCATACTGCCCCCGCCCCGCTTCCCTTCCCTCCCTTTTGGAGAGACCTGTTCTTTTTTTTTTTTTTTTTTCCTTTCCTCACAGCACTTAGGGAAGCAATTACTATGTGTCAGGTACTATGTTAATATTTGCTCTGTGTTATTTTATATAAATCTCAAAAAATCCTGTAGCACACATAAACTCAGGGAGATTAAGTAAATTACTCAAGGTCATACAGCTAATAAGTGGCAAAGTAAATATTTTAAGAGAAATCTTAATTCTAAAGTTTGTACTTTTAACTATGACCAAATACTTCAACTTTCTTCTTCCACAGTCCACTTTAAGGTAATTTTCCATTCTGAAAACTTACAGCTTTTTGTATAGACCATTATTATAGAATATGTTAGTAATAATTAATTACTTACTTGAGTTCTCCCGCTATTCATTGAAAAACCCAAAGTCCAGTTATGATTAACAATATGTGCTCAGTAAATGCTAATAGAATGAGTAAATTAGAGTTGATGTATTCAACTTTATTTTCAACTTAAGCTTTTGAAAACTCCTCCCCAATATTACTCTTGAATTTCTAGTAATTAAGGAATGTAAAAATGTATATAGAGAAAAAACAATTCTCATAGTCAAATCTCGTGTACTTATATATGGCTAGTCAAAAAATTCACTCATTCAGGCCATTTCTAAGTAAAAGGAAGGTTATTCCTCAAAATGATTAAATCTGTATGGCCATAGTCATACTCTGTGGTCCAGAGACATGTCCTGAAAAGCAGCAGCCACTCAAGTTCCTGCAACTGGTCAAGCCCAACCTTCCTTATTTTTCCTAGTGTCATGAACTGAATCTTAACCAAGTTCACCCCAGATTCAGAAATATGTTTCATCTGAGTCTCAGAAGTTATGGGCATTTTCTCAATTGTTGGCAAGTGGTAGAGATTTAGATAACTACTGTGCTGATATTCACGGTCATACAAACTAACGAGGCATAACCCCCCCCCAAAAAAAAGAAATTCAAGTAGAACAGTAAATAAGGATGTCATTCTAGCATTTAATGTAGCCATACAATCAGAAATAAATTGTCACAACTTTCACTAAGGAAGATATTTCATTTATAGTCATTCAAGAAGTATAATTACAACCATATTTCTGTATATTTATTGAGAGTAAGACTTCTTTTCAGCTTGAACTCAAATCTCTACATTTTCTTTCCAATTTAAAAAAAAAAAAGTCTTAAGAAAAAAAAAAGAGCGAGAGAACATTTCAGACCCATTACTACATAGGTATGGAGTGCCAAAAACCAGAACATCCAGAAGGAAACTGAACAAATAGTAATAGAAGCCATTCTCAAGGATATATGTAACTGGTGACAGGCATTTACAAAGCAATTTGGAGAGAGAAGCCTTCTTAGGAAAATCAATGATGAATGTTCTGCACTTAAAATGAACTTGGTGCAAATGTACACATAATAGATAAAGACTTTTTAGTAAAAAGTGTTAAAACCCAATTACAAGAATGCAATCATTCCAGAACAGAACAACAAAGAACAAGAATAGAGTAGTAGAGAAAAGAATATAGGAGAGAGTCAAATGAACTTGAAAAATGCAAAAAGATATAAAGACTATTCATTTATTATGCATATAAGAATTATATTAATCTATTCATAACCTGATTCAGTCCTTGGGGGATTTGAGACTGTCAAGACATTCTCTTTAACATGTGTAGTTATGGTTTTCACTGTTTGCTTAGAGATAAGAAAATGAAAATTAAACCAGAATGACTTTACATGTTATCCGAATTTTTTTATTATATAAACATGTATATGCTAGTTGTGGAGTTAACTGTTCATAATTTCTCACTCAGTATTGTGAATTAAGTTATCAACTTATTTTTGGTCATTTTTCTGTGCATTCAAGCTTATGGATAGTCAGATATTTGGACTAAATAACTATAATAAATTGCCGAAATCCCAGTGTTCTGAATGCTTCTGACTGAAACTACTTCATTACATTGGCTTTGATTAGGGATGTAAGGTGGGGGCTCAATAAATGTTGCCAGTTGAGTGTATAGTTTAATTTTTTTTTCTTTTTTGTTACAAATAAATCAAAACCCAAACCTCTAGCAAATAATATTTTTAAAAATCTACATAATTTGAAACAAAAAGATATTGATATTTACCAACAGTTTGTTGTTGTTGTTGTTGTTGTTGTTGTTCACAAAAATCAAAGAGGTTTTAGTAAGTAAAACCTGAGAAGAGCAGTTTCAGGGGTCTCAGCAACTGAGGTCCATAGAATTTTTTTCTAAAGTACTATCAGATTGATAACTACCAATTTGAGATCTCTATAAGGTAAATTTCAGATTCTCAGGAACAGGAATCCATCTGTTCCCACTGGGATTTTGTATCTGCTGTGGATCAGTCCCTTATGTCAAGAGGCAGGCTCACAGAGTTCAAACATGTCCACCTCTGTGGATCAGGGGTTACACACAAAGAAGCAAATCATCACATGTGGCACAGCTCCTTCAGAAAGCTTCTGCCCCACTACGAGTTGCAATTACTTCTAAGTAAATTGCAAAGGAAATTTATGAACCCAGCAGCTCCATGACTGGAGTGAAAAGAAACATCTACTTCCTGATGTTCTTACAGGACCACAAAACTAAGAATCAGATGTCAATGTTGGCATTTTTTACTTGTGTCTTTAGGAAGGGTCTTAAATATCATCAGCTATTTGGTGCTTAAATTTCTACAATAGGAGAATTTAGTCTGGGATCTCCAGTGTATATTCTAACTCCAATGCAATAATGAAGGATAACTATTTCTAATAATTTGAAAGACAGAATTTTGCTTCTAATAACACTGCACAAAATAGCTAAATTATCAAGGTTTTTCTCTTTGGGGCTGAAATTATCAGTGTAGTAGAAGAACAGCTATTAATCAGAAATTCTTATTGATAAGTTGGTAAAAATAGGAACACTACCTTATTCATGGTTGTATCACAGCAATGGCATAGTATCAGACATAGCTGAATGGAATTACTAATTTTTGTCTATTTTGGAAACAAAATTTCTCAAGATATAGATTATTTGAGAGGAAAAGTATAAAAAACACAACTATGAAGATGAGCAATGGAAACTACTAACCTAAATGGGTAAAATAGCATTACTAAGAGTCATAAAATAATTTACTGGAATGTACTATCTTAGTCCCTTGTCGGTTGCTAAAAATACAATACCATAGACAGGGTAAGTTATAAAGAAAAGAGGGTTATTTCAGCTTACGGTTCTGGTCCGCAGTGAAGAGATCACATCTTGTGATGGCATTCTTTCTGGCAGAGCCCTGAGGCAGCAAAGGGCATCATATGATAAGAGATAGGGAGGGCATGTGCTCAGGTCTCTTTCCCTTTTCTTACAAAGCCACCAGTACATAACGGAGTTCCACATGATGACCTGATATAATTCTAAACAGCTCCCAAAGGTCCCAGCTCCAGACACCATAGTCAGATTAAGTTTTCACCTTATCAATACCTCACACTGAGAATTAAATTCTAAATGAGGTTTAGGAAGAGACCAATCACATTCAAACCATAGCACTGATTAAAGAGAAAATCAGCAGGCTGAAGATTCAAAAGTGAGCCTTCACTTACACAGTTCCTTCCCTGAATCAGAGATTTACAGGTACATAGGAACCTGAGGAGTATGTGATCTCCTTGGAAAAATGGACATATAATTCCAAAATTTTGAGAAAATATCAAGGATATATTAAAAGGAGTATTTGATAAGGAAATGGAATTATTAAAACTCATCCTCCTTTCCCCGGCATCACAGAGTCCCTAAGCATGCTCTCACCTCTGGCCATCTGCTTACAAAAGTGTTGACAATTTTTTTTTTTTCCTAAGACTCTGGCAAGTCTGGGCTATGTCTGCACTGCAGGAATCCCTCCAAAATTTAGCATCATCATCTCCTTCACTAAAGGTGATCCCATCTTCTCCTAAAAGCAAAGAAGGAAGCTTTTTTCCTTACATGACCTGAATGCAAAGTAGCCTCCCCTAGATCAGTGCCTTCTAACAGTCACAAGTCCTGCGCTTGCAGCTCAGCTGCCACTTTCAGCAGCTTGTACCTCAACAATGCATGCAGATATTTAAAAGCTCCACATATCACTTTTACATTGACTGCAAGGGGGTCCAATGAGGGGAATGCCCCAAAAGTACCTTCATACTTTCTTTTCTCCACCTTACACATATTATTTCATGACAGGCAAATTGTCAGTTATAGCACATGTAATTCCCAGAGGAACCATTGTCATTTCTTTCAGGCAATGTGTGTGTAAGAGAGTATCATACAAATCAGCCACTTTCTTTATTTACTTCAGAGCATAGTGTAGTAGAACAAGCACATGAAAAGAGACAGAGGGTATCTGGGATTTATTGCCAGGTCCACATTTGATGTACTATTCTTACTCCCTTTGTATTTAACTCCCCCATTTGCAACACAAGGATAATGACATAGTACCTGTTTGTTTCTAAGGCACTCGAAAATTCTCTGATAGAAGATTCCACACAAAAACAGAGACTATTTTTACATCAGGAAGACTTGAAAATTGCAAGTCCGTTTACTCATCACTATTAAGCAGTCAACAAAACAATGATAGAAGAGAAAGCATCACTTTTTAAGGCATCTAAAATCAAATATTGCTGAATGTACAGCTCTTCAGAAAGATATATGTACAAATATATTCATTTTAATGACCAAACAAATCTAACTCATCAATAACCCATTTAGAAAAATCCTTTGCAAGTTATCCTGTCTCCCAAATATTTCATAGAATCCCTAATCACAATTATTTATTATAATACATAGCTTTTAGAACTACACGTTTTCCTTTCAAAGGGTCTCCTCTACTTTTCAGAGAGCATTCCAACTCATTCTATTAAGTTTATCACAAAATATAAAAACATTTCTCCTTCTTTTTGGCAAATCTTGGAATAATCAAACTTACAGTACAGTGATGTACAGGCATCCAAGCAGGGGCTTCCACTGAACAATTCTGGGCTGGGCATTTGCCTTGGTTTTGCTGCAAATAAGTAAAAATTATGTTATGTTCCATATATTATGTGCAGCAACATAGACTAGCTGACATATTTATTATCAATATGTCTATTACCATATTTGCAAGCATTACAGAAGCTTCTGAGAATGATCCTTTGGTGCAATGCTACAAAAAAAAAGCAGGTATGCAATTTCTACTCTTATTGATACACAAGAAATTATCCATTGCTTTTTTTTCTTCCTATTCTCTCTCTCTCTCTCTCTCTCTCTCTCTCTCTCTCCCTCCCTCCCTCCCTCCCTCCCTCCCTCCCTCTCATCAGTACTCTAAAGACTCAGATTTTGGTATTAGGCTTCCTTAGCATCTGGCCTTCCAGGCCCCATCAGGAACCATCGGACAGATTTTTCTAACACAGAAACTGAATCTCTCTGCTCTTCCAGGCTCCCAGACAATTTTTATAAGATCACTTAAGTGAAGGTATAGAAAGGCTGTATCTCCTCTTTCAGATTGTAACCAGAGATAGTGATTCTCTCTAGAGCATCTCATAGAACTCTAAAATGTTGAGTTAAAAGCAATAAGTCTTAGAGACCTTTCTTGTCACATCAGAACCTGAGGTCCAGAAAAATGAAACAATTTGCTTAGGGAACCAGAGGTTTGGCATTCTAAGCCATATTCTGCCCTCTTCTTTCTACATAAGTAATTTATTTCTAATTAACCTATTCTTATTCTGTAATTTCTGAAAATTAATTTCTTATTGGCTTATTAGAAAGAATGAAGTGTTTAACTAACAATACTGTTTTATCCTTGCAATAATGATTAGTTTTGAAGGGTTGGTTTCTAATAAAATATATTTTCTTTCATTACATAGTGGTAATATAGGCACACTGATAATGTAAATAATCATCAAACAAACCACAGTTGTGATTTACTGAGCTATGGATCCATTAAATTATTATTAGTACCCAAAACAAATATAGAAGCATTATATTATGCCTGTTTTACAGAGGAGAAAACTGAAACTTAGAAATGTTAGGCAAGGGCTGAGGATGTGGCTCAAGTGGTAATGCACTCGCCTGGCATGCGTGGGGTGCTGGGTTAGAAGAATATAAACTTTGGATAATATCAGCACCACATAAAATAAAATAAAGATGTTGTGTCCGCCGAAAACTGAAACTTAAATATTAAAAAATTCTCTTTCTTCTCTCTCTCTCTCTCTCTCTCTCTTTTTAAAAAAAAAGAAAAGAAAAGATATGTTAGGCAAGTTGCCTAAAAATCATCCTGCTAGAAAACAGCATACCTGGGAGGGCAGCAAGAATCTAGCTGATTATACTGCCCATGCTCCCATGCATGTTTTACAAGAAGCTATTTCTGTGGTTTTTAATTTTCTATCTGTTTAATGGGGCTTACAGCATGCCATCATCTAACCCAATTTCATCTATCAATGATCCTAACATTTCTGACTTACCTCAATGAAATGCTGAATTCAGTGCTCCTATCATTCTAAGACTTGTATGTGATTTATAAGCTTTTTAGAACAACCTTTATTTAGGTGATCTATTTTTAAGGCATCACTAAGCCCTGAAGTGCTGTATGAATGATTGTGGATAAAGTCACTATAAAAATAAACTTAAACCATCAATCTCTATACAGTTTTCTTGGTTAAAATATGACGTGCAGCACCAGCAGGATACATGAGTCCATTGGATTCTTGTCAGATGACCACAATTTTAAGTCAAGGTTGGCTGTGTGCTTACTGTCACAAGATATTTTTGGTAGGCACATCTGTAAAATGAAGTTAGTATTGCCTAATTCCTGGAATTATTATCACTGATAGGTATAGATTTACTTCAGAGTATTATCACAATTTTCAAGAATGGATACTTATAACAACACATACAGTGACCAAACAATTTTATCCCTATTTTGATAGTCAAGTTATTTAAATAAATATAATTTATTGACATGTGGGATCAAGTCTTTTGAAATTTGAAAGCATTTTTAAATGTTATTTGTTATTATTTCTAACTTTGAGCATTAAAAATAGACTTTATGGTGAGGAATATCTCCTTTGGACTAATTCATAATTATTGTTGTTATTAATAGTAATAGTAATCTTATTTTACATCTAGAGTTCACATCTTTATGAAACATAATAAAGAGGAATATTCAATAAGTAAGGGAGCTGAGTAAAGGGATATTAAGTATGATGAATGCATAAATAAAATAAGTTTGTATTTCTTTAGGTGTACAATGTGGTAACAGAAGATGGACATTTGTGTGAGACTCTCTCTTATTCCATTATTACCTAATTTTTTACACTAAGGCCTTCACAATAGTATTCTAAATAAGCAAATTAGCAGTATGATTATACATACCAAGACAGACTAAAAGTTCTACTGAAGACAGATGTCCTATGAACATAAATTGATTTTTCAATCAATAGTGTGCAACCAGAAAAATAAGATTGAAAAGAAGATAGGGCCTTGGATTTCAGCATAGTATTTCCATTAATCTGTCTGTGGAACTTTGGGAAAGTCTTTCTAACACTTCAAACTCACTTTACTCATCTGTAAAATAATAGGGTTAGGTTAGATACAATTCATTGTGGAGACAGGAAATGTCAAATTTACTCATGGATATTATCCAAAGTTTATAATCTTCTCAATAATTTAATATGTTCCCTCTGCCAAAGGGGTTCACCATGAAGTTGGATCCACTGAAGAATGATTGGTTAGAGGCTTAAAAATACCATTAAGAAATGAATATTCCCCTTTGAGTTTAAGCAATAGCAACCACTAGACCAAATGGTCTGAAAGACTCTTCCACTTCAGTGTGGCTATTGGAAACCCTAACAATCATTACTGTACTTCTTAAGAGGAAGCTTAACATGTATCAAGGAAACCCCTAGAGTAAGTGGAGAAGTAAAGGGGTCTTAAATTCTCTTTTTTCCTAGAAGTGTAGAGGTATTGAATATCTTTTTCAGTATCCTTTTTTTTTAATATATATATTTCATGTGTACACTGTGACATGACAGAGTTTGGAGATACCTCCTAATTGGCAGATTACCAATTCCTCAAAGGCCTGTTAGAACCAATATAAACACTAGGGAAACTGGCTCTACACCACAAGGTTCTTTTATGTTTCATTGTTTCTTTTTAGTTACACCTAACAGTAGAATTCATTTTTTTACATAATTATACAATCATGGAATATATCTTGTTCTAATTTAGACCTCAGTACCTTTCCTCTCCTTCCCTTTCCTCATCCCCTGCTCCCTTTCCTCTATTGATCTTTCTGCAATTTATACATAATCATTTCTTTTAAATTAATTTCTTATGGATGTACACAATGATGAGATTCACAGTGGTAAAATTCATATATGTACACAGGAAAACTATTTCAGATTCATTCCACTCTTTCCTTTCTCCATCCCCTTTCCCTTCCATTCATTACCCTTTGTCTACTCCACTGAATGTCTAATCTCCCCCTTCCCATGTTATGGGTTAATTTCCTCATATTAGAGAAAACATTTGAAATTTGTGTTTTTTTGTGTGTGTGATTGGCTTACTTCACTTAGCATAATCATCTCCAGATCCTTCTATTCACTGGCAAATGTCATAAAATCATTCTTTGTTACTGCTAAGTAATACTCCATTGTATGTATATACAACATTTTCTTTATCCATTTACCTGTTGAAGGGCACCTAGGTTGGCTCCATACTCAGCTATTGTACTGTTATAAACATTGATGTGGCTGAGTCACTGTTGTGTACCAGATTTTAAGTCCTTTGGATATATACTGAGGAGTAGGATAAGATCAAATGGTGGTTCCATTCCTAGTTTTTTGAGGAATCTCCATACTGCTTTCAGAGCAGCTGTACCAATTTGTAGTCCTACAGCAATTTATGAGTGTACCCTTTTCCCTACAATTTCACCAACATTTACTATTACCTGTATTCTTGAAATTGCCATTCTTATTGGAATTAGATGAAATCACAGTGTAGTTTTAATTTGCATTTCTCTAATTGCTAGAGATGCTGAACACTTTTAAATATATTTGTTAACTGTTCATACTTCTTATGCTGAGAAGTATCTCTTAGTTCCTTGGCCCATTTGTTGATTGGGTTACTCATTTTATTTTTTAATTATTTCCATATTCTAGAAAATAATGCACTATCTAAGGTGCAGGTGGCAAAGATTTTCTCTCATTCTTAGGATTTCTCTTTATGCTCTTGTTTCTTTCCTTTCTATGAAGAAGCTTTTTAATTTAATGCCATTCCATTTATTTGTTTTTTATTTTACTTCTTCTGCTTTAGGAGTTTTCTTAATGAAGTTAGTTCCTGAGCCAATATATTGGAGTGTCGGGCTGCTATCCATTTATCATTTATTTCTTCTGCTATCCATTTATCATTCAAAAGTCTCCAGGTGTTAAAGTGGCTTTTATTTCTATCTTACTGATTTCTAATTTCATTCCATTATGATCTGATAAAATGCTAGGTATTATCTCTATTTTATTTTAGCATTTGCTAAGATTTGCTTTGTGGCCTAAAATATGGCCTATTTTAGAAAATGTTTCATGTGCTTCTGAGAAGAAAGTGTATTCATTCAATCATTGATAATTGACATATAGAATATTTCACCTAAGACTAAATTATTAATTGTAGTTTCTAGTTCTGTAGCTTCTTTATTTACATTTTGTTTGGATAATCTATCCAGTGATGAGAGAAGTATGTTAAAATCATCCAGTATTATTGTATTTTGGTCTATGTGATTTTTAATATTAAGAAGGGTTTGTTTGATATACAGAGGTATTCCATTGTTTGGGTGCATAAATATTTAGGATCATTATTTCTTATTGTTGTATGATTCCCTTAAGTAGGGAATGACCTTAATTTTCTCTTCTGATTAATTTTGGCTTAAAGCCCATTTTATCTCATATGAGAATAGTAATCCCTGCTTTTATACAAGTTCTATGTGAATAATATGTTTTTCCCATCCTTTCATCTTGAGTCAGTGGATGCCTATGA